TTTTATGTGTTCTATCTGAATGCGGGAGATTGCCCACATATTCTGAGACACTCTGTATAATATGATGGGACCAAACATTTACAATTCATTACTATCCGATTTAAAATCAATTGTCTATCTATAAGTTCAAAAAAAGCTTAGCTTTTTGACGTACTATTAGCCTTAGAGAGTTAGTCAGATCTTTATGAAACACCCTGTACAGTACCTCACCTCGGTTTGTAACTGTTCTTTTTTACCCTTGATTTGGGTTCAAATAGTTAAATAAATAAATCTGGGATATTTACTCAACTGATGTTTATTTGATTTGTTGACTTCTGTTAGAGTTCTTGGGTTTTAAAATCGTGACTAATAGGGTCGTATACCTGTTGTGCTAGAATGATTTTTTTTTTATAAAATAGGTTTTTGTACTCTTAGCAGTTCATTGAATGTATTTTTCTATCGAGTATAATTGGTACCTGTTCAGGTAGTTGAACTTATAGTTCAAAGTTCATATCGAAACCAAAACGTGTATTATTTGTGTGGACTTTAAAATTTATCTAGAAAATTAATGTTTATCTATGATTACGGGGGATAACTGATAAATACTTAATATAAAGTATTACCTACCTGAGAAGTTGGTAGAAAATCAAGTATTCGTTGAAAATCAAACTGGGGGAGTAAGTAAAAGATTTTCCATGCAAAATTTATTTATTATTTCTTATTAAACAACGTGGCGAATTTAAAAATATATGCTTCTATTGAAAAAAAAAAACAAGATTGACCTTCAAATGACCTTGAAGTAAACGAGTAAGCGAAAATTAAAGCATTTATACTTAATAAATTCAAGTTACTTTTTTTGATAAATATACAGGATAAGTAGTTAGATCCCCAAAAACTAAAAGCCAAGATAATATAACAATATCTTTAAAATTCACTTCCTCGGAGAAATATTAAAACATATAATTTGGGACTTGATAGGAATCTAAAGCATTTAAAAAATTCAAGTTGATCGCAATTAAAGCACTAGGTCAGTGGTTATCTCTAAACCAACTTAAGATGGTTAATTAGTTTAGCAGAATTACGTTTTTTTATTATATCTGTCTGTGTGGATAAAAATGAGTTTAGATAAATAATTCGGTCCAAGGACATGCAAAATTATCAAAAATCAGAATAGAAATGTGATAGATAGTTGATAATGAAATAGTACACGCATAATAATAGTGTAGTGTCTGCCAATCAATCGAAATTATGCTTTCTGTGGGGCTGAGTGTCACAAGCTAAATTGTTAATTTATTGAAAACTAATTTTGGAGATTCTAAAACCGGAAGTAATCCAAAATTAAACTGTACAGAAGAGCAGTATTTTCAAAAAACGAGATATTGGTAACATTGCATAGAGCGTAACGTGTACTACAATATGATTGAAAAATCCAAAAAGTCACGTTAAAAGTTACGTAATAGCTATATGAAAACAGTTACGAAATGCCTTATTTTTTGTAACGAGCGAATATTTGCGGGACGAGCAGAGCGAGGTCTCGCAACATGAACGAGTTACATAAAACAGAATTTCGTAACGTGTTGCATACAATATTTTTTTCTAATTTTGACTAAATTATTTATAAAATTGTGTTTTTGTAAGAAATTACTGACATGTAGGCAACCAATACTACTTTATTGTATTGTTAGTTGCATATGCATCATCTTATTGACAGAACATAATATTAATTATTTATTGTCAACGACTTGTAGTGTATACATGGCGTTTTAAAGTTATTTAGTTTTCAAAACAGTGAGTTATTTTGTCGTGTATTGTGTTTTAATTATTTTGTTTTGATTTAGAATGGAAAATAAGGACCAAAACAACATTACTACTTGTAAGTTTAACAAAATTCTATTTTTATAAATCAACCTGCTCTTCTTTGATATACACTATATGACAAAATTAGAAAAATCTATTATTTTAAACATTTAAAACGCCATTGAGGGTCATGGCCCAAAAAACTAATAAAACTATTTTCTCGGTTTTTCTTAGGAAAAAGGTGCGAAAAATGTTTTTCGTTTTAAGTTCACACTACTAAATTAGCTAAACAAGCTTTTAAAACAAAAAAGTTACTCTTTATAAAAGTTTGTAAAATGGGTGTAGATTATAACAATATAAAAAACATTAAAACGATTAGCGCTCGTTGATTTACCGGTCGAATCAAACTAAAAGAAGAAAAATTCAACACCTATTTCACTAGGATTGTATGACAAAGTCACATATACACTTAGAACAACGTGTTTAACAGCAGAGCTGGGTAGGATTTGAATCCTTGTTGTAAAAAAATCATAAAATTTAACACTTGCCTTCCTTCGTCTGGTGCAGTCGAACAATTATTTTTGTTTGCAGGTATAATCGACACACCTCGAAGGAACGGCATGACAAATGAAAACTTTATAATTTTGGTACTATGTAAGGCCAACCAAAAGACATTTTTATTTCATTATTTTCTGTATTAAAATTATTAGATTTTATATTTTTGTAATTTTAATAATAAAATAACCCAATTACAATACAAGCATAGTTATAAAAAAAACGGTCTGTATTATTGTACAAGCTGGCATATGACACTCCCTGGGCGGGAAAAAGATGCGCAGCTTTCACTGCGCGGACGTTTTCGGGATATAATCTATCACTTGTCATAAATCCGGTTAAAAACTCGGTACCATGCGCAGGCAACCCATATTTCGTACACAAATACAAACTTTTGTTTACATTTTATCGAAGTAGTTTTTGTAATACATTCACAGCTTAAAAACGGAAAATTTGTTATTTTGTTAGTGAATTTAGATCAAAAATACCCCAAATACACTTCAGTGTGTGTTTTATCCTTATTATTACGTATTATTGCTCGTTTTGTTTGAGGACATTGGAATAAATAGAGTACTAGAAGTAATAAGCTAAAAAGGTGTGTTATAAAAAAAAAAAATACATTGCATTCGACTGATTTAGGTTTAATATGTTTTCGTGAAGTATTTCCAACATGCTAGTTACTTGAATGGTTGTAAATTGTAAGTGTATAAGTGATAGAAACTGATCTAGTGCTTCTTTTTTTTTGTTGCATTCTTAGCCAGCTGTAGAAGCAAAAACATTAACATTGTCTACATTCAACCCATTTACATGTACATGATTTATCAGCTAAAAGCAGAATACAATATTTCTCTGCAAAATGTAAACAACGCTACAAGGAAAATTGCTCATGTATAAATTCAACAATTAAATCAAAATATATTATTTTTAAAGGACTTATATCAACTATTATGTTAATTATAAATATTATAATATAAATATTTGTAACAAAATAATAGTTGTGTATTAATAAACCTGTTGTTACTCCAAAAAATATATTGTTTATTGATTATCAGGCATCAAAAATATGTGTACCTATAGAAATTTGTTGAAATGTTCTATTGCTCTTAATCTTTTTAATAGGTTCTTATTATAGTTGTAAATAAAAATCAACACTTTTTATCCGTCTATTTAACACTTACAAACATATGCATATTTTAAGTTGTAAGGATCCTTAGCCTCTTAATTTTTGACATTAGACACAATATCTGTGCTGTCACATTAAATCGTGAATATGAGGTAAAGGATTTGGGAGTTGTTTTTCAGTCTAATTTGAAGTTCAATAACCATTTCTTACACATAACTAAAAAAGCAATAAAAGCTTTGGGTTTTTAAATCAGAAATACAAATAATTTTAGGATTATATAATGCCTTAGTAAGACCCCATCTTGAGTATGTTTCACAAATATGGATGTCCTTGGAAGCCACACATATTGATCATATTGAAAAAGTACAAAAACTATATTTATGGTACCTATATCATAAAAAATACTCGTACCCTTATAAGATCTCATATAAAACTATGCTCGATAGATTTATTAAATCTCTTTTACAAATAAGAAAGCAACAGGCTGTGATATATTTTGTACAGAGAGAGAGACGAAGCGAAGCAATAAGCGATTACCTGACGGTAGATCACCCGTAGCTACCGTTTTAAATGATTTGTTTTATATTAATTACCATAAGTTGATTATTATAAGACAAAAATATGGTTGATCTTTTGTTATGTACTATACATATTTTAGAAACTTTTAAAAAGACTATTTTTGTTTTGTTTTAAAAGCTTGTTTAGCTAATTTCGTAGTTAAACATAAAAAATACATGTGGAGTGGAAGAGCAAAACTCTGATTTTTATCAGAGATTTTGAACTCTGCCATTTGGCAAACTATTTTGTATTTATATTTTTCTTCTTCTTTGTATTAGGGGTACTTAGTTTGGCCAATAAAAGCATTTATTATTGTTATTATTATTATTAGATAAAACCGAGAAAATAGCATATGTATTTGGTTTTTTGGGCCGTAAGCCCCAATGGTTTTTTAAATAATACATTTACGTTACTTGTAAAGGGACTATTTAATGGTACCAATATTATGTGTTTTGAAAATAGTGCCCTTCTGCACATTCTAATTTTGGATTACTTCCGGTTTTAGAATCTCCAAAATATTAGTTTTTAATAAATTAATAATTGTGACATTCAACCCTTCACAGAATTCATTTTTAGAGCGGTTTTGTTACAAATAGCACCATACTATAATTAAAAATACTCGATAATTATTGATGATGTATCTCTTGCAGTATTTTTTTTGAAACAGACTAATATAGTTTTATTATCAAGAAGTTGATAATTGATATGTTGCAGTTGTATCTACATACACGTGTGTATAAAATTTATGAATGATTCAAACTACTTATCGGTATAGTCGATAATTAATGTTAATAATATAAACTTTTTACTAGATTACAGAGATCTTATAATATATGCAACATTGCAACCAAGATATTTTTTTGTATATACTAATAATGTTGCAAAACAACTTTGCATGATTTTATATTTTACAATTAACAAATTGGTTGATAAGCAAATGTAACATTTTAAAAAAAAAATTTATATAATATTTTCTATTTGCCCGTAGGTGGAAAGAATCGACTTTGACTTTACCGTACGAATCCAGCAAAACCGCCTGGCCTGTATCCCAATTAGAGTCTCGTTTTTTGCCTGAATTCCCGGTGGCTTCGTCCGAAAACGAAAAACGCTTTGACATTTTGGAAGAGATCAACAAAGGAGCTTTCGGCAAGGTCTACAAAGCGAATGATTCGAAGTCCGGAGGAACTTTTGCTTTGAAAGTGTTGTCCAAGTCAAAGGTGACGTTCTATTTATTTATTTATTTATTTATTAACGCTGTATGCACCGTACACGTTTAATTCAGATCAAGGGTTTAATCGCGTTTACTACCATTTTTAGCTATGCACCATAATAAAAATCATTCTTAATCCGATTTTATTCTAATCCGTCAATATCGGAGGATTAAATTATTTAATAGCGCATTCGACTGGTCGCACTGGTGCGCATTGCATTTAGTTCGACTTTTTTAAGTGCCATACATTCGACTGGCAGAACTGAACCAATTATTGCATTCGACTAGAATTACCCGGCACGAGGACACAATCATATTATTGTTCGACCGGTAAAAGCGCTTGCTCAAAGTTCGAATTTTTTGTAACTGTACTTTTTTTCAGTGCCAGCCAGTGCCGATTTAGAGGTTAGGTTTTATTTTCAATTTTTAAAATATGTTACCTTTTTCTTTTTTATTATTATCCAGTAATAGTGAAGATATTAGCGATGATATAGATAGAAGAGTTGTATAAAAATTTTAAAACAAAAATTGACAAAGAATTTAGGATAAGTTGAAGTTGTGGAAAAATATTCAAAAAAGAAGAAAATTATTATTTTTATATGTATATTATTAAATAAAGATTGTAAACCTTTCACAGTTCAAAAGAAACTTCAGGATGAATAAAAATTCGTATGGAATGTTTAAATACCAAATTTAAAAATTCAGAGTTCTATAAAAAAGATTTAAATCCCGGTGGAAGCCCACCTATAAGTAGCTACTACTGTTAAAAACACATTAAATTATGTTAGAAACTGGAAATGTCAACTGTACCAGTCGAATAACGATAAAATGATGCACGAACTTTTTCGCACTTCGAATTATAAAAATGCTGTCGGAAATGAGTGCAGAACTAAATCCGCTCTGGCAACGAGAAAGAGTTTTATATGTCAACGTTTTGTCAGTATATTTGAAACTTTCTATTTGTGTTTCTTTTATTTATTTTATATGAATTTTATTAAAAAACGGAAATAGAATACCGGTCTTTCTTGGAAGATGACAAAGATTCTAGACAAAATTTTTTGTCATTTTTAAGAGATGTTTTATATTCTAACGTTACAGCTTAATTCTGTAGTTAGATGACAAATCCAGACATGTTGAAAAAGGTAAAAATAAGTAAGCAATACATAATAGGTTTGTTCCAACAACAATCTTGGGACCATACATAAACCAATCCACAATTTATTGTCGATGACCTGTCCACGACTTGTCGAGGATTGGAACGCGATTCGGAACTTGGATGTGTTGGAACACATTTTTGTGTTGTCAGCCACATTCTGTTAATACCGTCAAAGTAAAAGCAAATTTAGCAAATGGAAAATTTTGAATTTGGGAAATAAAAAAATTATAAAACTCATGAAAAGATTAATAAATTTTGATTATTCGATTGGTTAGTACATTAAACTTTATTTATTTTAGTTTTTTACCATTTAAGTCAGAATAATAGTCCTCTTTACTTTCTTTACTCCATTACTTACTTATTATTAATAAGTAAGTATACACGTATACAATAAAATACTATAATGATAATTAATGAAAACCAAATTACGATCGATAATAGTAATATAATCCTTGGATAAAGACTACGATCGATGCTATCAAAACATAATCAAGAAATTTCCAGAGTTGGTCGTGGTTTATTTACGAGCTCACTTTCGTTTTGCGCATGTCTTGACAATTCGTTCATAATCACCCCATGAAACTGATTTGACAGTACAGAAACTGGTTTGTGATTAGGTGTGGGTGTGTTGGAACACTAGGTTTTTGTACAGTTTTGAGTCCGAATTTTGTTGGACCACCAAATCTAGACTGCGCAGAATCCCGACAGTACGTAAACCGATTTGCTATTGTGTTGGAACAAACCTAATATTTATGTGATTTTGTCCACTTTTAAATACTGAAAATATGTCATATCCACATAGTTTTGAACATGCACAGTGTAGGCAAAGTATTCATATAGGTACATCGTTTTGCATAGAAAAACTTGAAAAATAGCAATTTGTATGTATATATATTAAAATTACCAAAAATGAACATAATGGTTTTGCCATCCAACTATAGAATTTTTTTTTAAATTCATTTGACATTCTTTTTCACCCTGCGTAAAATTCTGGATACGTCACAGAACACTTGTATGCGTTTTACGTTGTTTATGATTTTGGTACATTAAAAAAATAGGGCTTCTATCTTCAACGGCCTCTTATCCTACATTTCTCCTATTCAAATCTAAAGATTTCTTCTTCTGTTTTTTTTTTGTAAAATTTATAAAAATCCAGTGTTGTCAGATTACTAAACTAGATTATCTAATCCGAAGCCGGTGCATAGAAAATAACCATTAGTCATTTAAACGAGATTTGCAAATCTGGATTAAATTTTAAAACGGTGGTTATGGACGTTATTTATTTATTTATTTATTTATTTATTTATTTATTTATTTATTTATTTATTTATTTATTTATTTATTTATTTATTTATTTATTTATTTATTTATTTATTTATTTATTTATTTATTTATTTATTTATTTATTTTCTACCACTTTTACTTTCGCAAACTTGATCAATTCTCACAATAATTTAAAGATGACATAAGTGTGCCGGAAAGTGTTATTTCTGTACCGCAAAATGTGTTTTTGTACCCGGCGGGCGGCCCAAATCTTAATGTAGAACATAAAAATAAAACTATGATTGCTTAACTGAACGACTCTTGCGATATAATGGATACAGTTTGAAGGTTATAGATTGTAGCTACATCTTCCTAGGAAAGAATGAACTAAATTAAATGGAAGTATGCAGTTTTTACTACGGTTTATAAGAGTAGACTAAATTACCAAAAGTTAGCGAAAACCGGTTATAGACATCTTTTTCTGTAGAACAATATTAAGAAACGTGTAAATGTAATGCTATTTTTGTCTAATTATAATATTTTATTGATGCAATAAGTTTCCTCTATACATTTTTCTTTTTTTCGTTAATACATTAATCACTTTTAGCATTTTAACTTTTTTTTTATTTGACAGGTTATAAAAGAAAATTCCGTACAACAAGTAAAAGACGAAGTACAAATACAGAGAATTTGTGGTCATCATCCGTTCATTGTGCATTGCCCTTTAAATTGGCAAAGTAGAAAAACATTATTTATTGGTACGTATTGTTTTAAAATCAAATATTTCGTTATACCTTAATGACATTTATTATGTAGATATCAGTACAGTTTCTAACTTATTTAATTTAATGTAACTCCTATTACGATTTTTTATGCCCTATTTTCTTGCGTTATTTTGGGGTTCAACTTTTTTTGGTTCCTTACTTTTTTCGCCCTACATTTGTTGTGCCCATCTTCAATTTGTTTTGAAGACTAACATAATCGAGAAATAACAATATATTAAAACAACAATGACGTATGTTGAATGTCTCGACATTTTTCCGCTTTCATTTTTCTTAACAATTTCTTTATCACCCGAAAAACTAATAATGTATCTCCACCAGTGTTGCCACAATATATTTTTGTAATGTATCAGATTTGTCTAAAATATGTACCAGATTCCATAAAAATGTACTAGATTATATAAAATGTACCATATTTTTCGAATTGTGAAGTGAGGTCATTAAAAAGCAAAAAGTTTATAGAGAACACGAACACAACAAACAAGGAAGACCCCAACAATATATTTTACACATCAAATGGAAACATACGCTGAAAAAAAAGTACTTGATTTTGCTTCGAGCATACTAGAGTACCAGATTTTTAAAGAATGTACTAGATCTACTACAATTGTACTAGACTGGTAACACTGATCTCCACGCATTCTATTACTTAATATTATTTCCGGTTTTTATCACAGTTATCTAAAAAGTCATTATATCAACGGATTTTGTATTCAGGATATGATTCAGTCTATTAATCTTTTTTTTTGTATTTTTTAGTAAGCGAATTCGTGGAGGGCGGAGAACTGTTCACGTTTCTGAAAAGATATTTAGCACTGCCTATCGAACTGGTACGACTTTATGTCGCTCAGATAGCTCTAGCTTTAGGTAAGTAACGTTCGATCTAAGATCGAATTGAATCGAACAATGGTAACCATTTTTTTGGTATACTTTTTTCATCCTAGATATAGGTATACGTAAAAATGATTTTTATTTAAATGTCTGTCTGATTTATTATAAATGATGATTTATGTCGTACAAACTTTTTTTGCTTCAATTTTTTTGGAATTAATTTTTTTGTCACGTTTTGCTCCCACCTTTTGCTTGTATCAAATTTGTAACGGCCAAATTTTGTTTGTCGTCCTTTTTGACGCTCATCTTTTTAAACTTGTACTTTTTTAATTTCCACATTTTTATCGGTAACATTCTTGTCGTTTTTAGACTTTTGAACAGTCCCGGTAGATAGTCTTTATTATTGATATTTTTAGAACCTGTCGGATTTTTTTTTGAATAATTTGGAGTTTTCCTGGACATTCTTGCTGAATACTTTTTTTTTGTACATCCTTATGTTAATTTACGTTTTTTTGCGCCCGACTTTTTTTAGCTATGTATTTTTAAGGTTCCCAATTTTTTTAGCGTTTTCCTTTTTTTGCGACCCATCTTTTTTGGTATCAACTTTTTTTCGCATAACTGTTTTGGCGTCTTATTTCTTTTTAGCACCCATTTTTAAGTCTTAATTTTTTTGTCATTCAATGTTTTTGTGCTTCAAACTTTTAATGTCCATTTTTTTGGCGCAATATTTTGTTGCGGCCATCTTTTGTTGCGGCCATCTTTTTTGGCTCTCTACCTTTTTAAACCGGTTTAAAGTCTTCTTTTTACTATTTTCCTCATTTTACGGTTTTATGGAGACTCAAAACAAGTTTTTTTCAACATTATGGACATTTTTGTGATATTCCGAATGTTTTAACGGGTTCTGGATGTTCTTGTCTTTTTTTTGGCTCTTTTAAACATTTTTGTCAACTCTTTCATGACCTTGTATTTTTTTTACATTTTCTAATGATTTTTGAACTATTGAATAATCCCGGCAGTCTTTATTTTTGGAGTTTTTAGGGCGTGTCGGATGTTTTTTAAATACTTTAGACTTTTTCTTGACATTCTTATTAAAAACTGTACATTTTAATGTTAAATTACGTTTCTGTTTTTTCTTGCACACAATTTTTTTTAGCGCCTCACCTTTTTTTGGCGCCCTTTTTTTATCACCATACTTTTTTGACTCTCTTTTTTATCACCATACTTTTTTTGACGTCCTTTTTTTATCACCATACTTTTTTTGACGCCCTTGTTTTATCACCATACTTTTTTTGACACCCAACTTCTCTTCTCAATATTTTTTTTTTGTTCCTTACCATTTTTGGCGCCTCTATTTTTTTCAGTCTCTATTATCTACCTTTTTAGGACCTGCCGGATGTTTTTTTTTCTTCAATAGTTTCAACTTTTTCTTGATATTCTAGATAAAAACTTTTTTTGTATATTTTATGTACTTTTTGTTAATGTTTGTTTTTTTTGCACAATTTTTTTTTGTTTTTCACATTTTTTAGCGCCTCACTTTTTTTGACACCCAACTTTTTAACGCTCTATTCCTTTTTTGACGCCAAACCTTCAATTTTTAGCGCCTTAAGGTCAACTTTTTTGACGCATTACTTTTTTGACGCATTACTTTTTTGACAGCCTATTTCTCTTTTACATTAAATTTTGGCATTCCTACTTTTTGTTCCACATTTTTTTGGCCCCCTATCATTTTTAGCGCACCTATTTTTTTGTCACATTATTTTTAACGCTCTATTTCCTTTTTTCACGCCCAACTTTTCATTTTTATCGTCCTATTTTTCTGATGGCTTACTTTTTTACACCGTACTTCTCTTTTGCATCACTTTTTTTGGCATCCAACTATTTTGTTCCCAACTTTTTTGGCTCCCTACCATTTAGAGAACCTATTTTTCTTTTTTAGTGACTATTTTTCTGAAGGCCAACTTTTTTTGGCGTCCTACTGATTTTTAACGCTAATCTTCTTTTTTTGCGCTCAATTTTTTATTTATGTTCCGATTTCGTTAGAAACAACGTCTCGGAACCTATTCGCGATGCACTAAAGAGCTTTTTCGTATTTTAGATTTCTTGCACAACGCCGGCATCGTCTACAGAGACTTGAAGCCGGAAAACGTTTTGTTAGACTCGTTCGGCAATGTCCAGCTGATCGATTTCGGTTTGAGCAAGTGGCTCCCGTATGGTACCACAACGAAGACGATTTGCGGCACTTTCCGATACATGGGTATGAACTAACAAAAAGATATTTAGACGAAACAACCCAACAGAAGTTCCAAGTGTCGCTTTTGTACTACTACCGAAATCACAGACTGGATTTAGTTGTTTCTTTAGTTTGTTTTTCACCAAAAATCACCGCCTTTTTACCGGTTTCTTTATTTTAATTTTCTTAGTGTCTTCGATTACCGTATTATTAGCTTAATCTCAGGTAAACGATCTGTGATCTTTATTGTGATTTGTCATCCTGAGCTCTTATTTCTTCGTTAATTTTTTATAGCTATCGTTTTTTTTTTCTTTTTTATTCGTTTAAAGATATAGATATGAACGCGCGATCTCAAATATTCGAGTTGACGGTAGAGGGTCGCCAGGCCGACGAAGCTGTAGCGTCAATTTTCCACACGGTGCTCTTCCACAGATCGTTAGGGAAATTCACATACTCTGACGAGGGTAGTTACTCAGTCGGAACAGTCGGATACGCGGACGTCGATTGTGATTTCATCGATTTAACGTACGTGTGTTGTTCTTCATCGTCGCTCGAACGCACCATCCGCAAAGAGATTAACTGCTTTTCAGAGCAGTTACGCGGCAATGAAGGCTCCGGTATGGGACAGATATCTCTAGAATTCTTCCAGAAAAAGCCCAGCCGGTGGTTGTTCCAACCTGAATGCATACCATGGGAAGTGTGGACGGTACGCTTGGAGTTAATCACTTTAAACAACGAGGGGGAGCGGCAAGTCTGCAGGGAAAAAGTGGGGGAATTATTAACTGATAAAATTATTTATATAACAGAAGTGATGAATAGGCACGAGTATCTACCGAAAATGCCGTCGCAAAGCGAATTGGATTTGATATTCGAAACGGGATTTCCCGACGTGCAACCGTATCTATTTAAATTGAATTATTCGATATCGGGACCGAGCGGGGGCCCTTCGGTGGGGTCGACGATAAAGAAGATTCGGGAAACATTGGCTTTGTAATCGAAGTGATTCGGTGGCAACTAATCGATATAGATGAGGGATTCGCGGGAGTTGTGGTTGTTGCGATTCGGGGGAATTGATGAGTAGTGAAGCAACGTCGATGTGGGCCCCTTTTTTACATACAAGGTAGTACAACGAACACTTGACATGGGGGTTTTGGGTATTAATATTGTAAATGTTAATAAAAACTTTAAATTTGTTACCATGTTGACATTTGAGCCATCACTCTCCCATTGCCTGTTATCTGTCTAAGAGATCTATCGATCTGGACGGCCTACTGGAGAATCGGTGTTGCCTTTTTGTCAAGTTTCTGGTTAATTATTAGGCAGATACTTAGGCCCATTTTTACGATTTTTCCCCAGGTCTGGGGAAATTTGTCGAGTAGATCTGGCAACACCGGGCCTACAAGAAAAGCGATGTGGTCTTTTTTGTCAAGTTTCTGGTTAATTATTAAACGTATTTACTATTGAATCATGCGGTTCGGTATTGCCAGATTACTAGTTTCCCCCAGATCTGGGGAAAAATCGAAAAGATGGGTGCTGTGATGTTAGATCTACTATACAATTTTCTTCAGATCTGGCAACTCCGCGTCGCATTTTTCAATGGTCACAGATCTGGGGAAAATCGAAAAAGTGGGATACAGTTTCTCTCTCGCCGGTCAACATCTATGTATGATAGAAATACCCAAAACTTGCATATCAAGTTTTCGTTGGCCACCTTCTTATAAATCTAAAGGAAATCTAAGATTGAACATCCTCGTTTTTGATACCAGAGCTGATTTACCTCTAAAAAATACAATTTGACCCTCCAAAAGGTTCAAATTGTCTTTTTTACAAATCCATACACTTTTGGTATCGAAAATGACCATGTTCAGCCTTAGATTTGTAAATGAGGCTAAAGTGGGTTCATATCGGTGCTGCTTAACTACTATTATAATGGTTGTTGAGAAATTTTAACTTCTAACATTATGTCGTTTATAAATTTGGTAACTATAGACTCAGTCTAATCACTGCATATTTTTTACCGCATGCCATTTTTTGAGTTTGAATTCAAAATGTATTTTGGATTGAGGGAATTTAAGTCATCTTGCAGCATTAAAAACTAATTTTTTGTCTTCAGAAAGTTACTTTTTCATATATTTTGCCTTTAACCTGTTAGATTTCTCTACGATTTTTTATTCTTTTTCAGCACATAAATTTTTTTTTAGATTACTTTAACGAGTTTTGTAAACATGTTTGTACTTAATACTGCTAATGATGACAATGTGTGACATTTATGTAATTTTAGCTGTTTTAAATTTCAACAATTAGCATTTTTATTTTTAAAACGTTCTCGTACGTGCTTTACTGTTTTCCGAAATTTATTATAATTTGGACTGTCAAATAAGTTTTTTTTTAATTTTTGGCATTTTTTGTTTTTGGAAATTTTTAACGTTTTTGCACATTTTGACATTTTATTAACGTTTTTGACTTTTTTTTAATATTGTTAAAACAATTTTTTAATAAAATTGACATTTTCGTGACATTCTAAAGTTTTTTCTACGACTATAATACAAAACATCACTCTATTCTTTTTAACATTGTTGTAATTTTTTTACATCACGGACTTTTTTAATTCTTAAACTATCCTGGCAGTCTTGATTACTGACATTTTTAGGACTCGCCGAAATGATTTTTGAATAGTTTTCACTTTTTCTGAACATTCTTGGTGAAGACATTTTTTTAGTATTTTTAACGTTAAATTTTGGATTTTATTTTAAAACCATATTAATCCTTAAATTTACAATATAAATTTATGATAGAGTTTTTAATAATTATTATTCAAATAGTCCATCTCAGTCTTTATTTAGCACCTGATAGTGTACAAGATTTTCTCAATTAACCAAAATCAATTTCCCCGAACATATGCTATCCACAGAGAAACTGCAAACTTTTCTGGTTATTTTCAATTTTAGAACGAACATTTAACAATTTTAAGTGTCTCATAATTAATTCCTTTCTCAGAATGACACTGGGCATATTACGAAAGTGCTAATGACTAAACTCTCACGTGAATAGAGAACATGCATGAATTTTATTTTTTCTTATTTTTCGCCCCATTTCGAGTGTTTAGTGCTTGAAACTCATTTTTGAGCGCCTCATATTTCAAACTCATTGAAATCTCTTTAATAAGCAATTCATTTTTGAGTTTTATAACACTTCAAACTCATTTTTGAACGCTTAAAAACAAAATGTTCGTATTTTTCTCGATTCTAATTACAGAGTCAAAATGGCGTCATTCTCTATTTCATTCATACGGCTTGTCTATTTATTATGCACAGTTTTACTTATTTCTCAGGTAGCAATTGTAATTATAACACGCGAGTGACAGACGAGATTTTTAAATGTTAAATCAAATATGTATAAAAATAGATCCTGAGAGGTGGCACGTTCTATAACTTTTCCGGTAATTCCCGCTGAAACAGGAAGTGACAAAAAGAATTAATACGTCAAAAATGCATACCTAAACAAGCAAGACAACACCTTACATGAAACCAAATCCGCCTACTGTCGCTTTCTACAGTAAATTATATCTTCGAAGCTCATTTTTGAGTGCTTTGTGTTTGAAATTCACTCTTGAGCTCAAATATAAGCTCATTTTTTAGTATATTTTAAATTTGAAGTTCGTTTTCTGGTGGTTAGTGATTGAAGTTAAAATTTGAACTTATGTTTGAATAACTGATGTCCAAAGTGCTTTTTAATTAGAAGTCAATTTTTGAATTTTTAACACTTGAAACTTATTTTTGAATAATTCTTGAGTGATTAGTGCTTAGTAATAATTTTTGAGCATACATTGCATGAAACTCATATTTGAGAGCACTTAATTTTTAAATGTTTTGTGTTTGAAACTCATTATCCATTGATAGGAGATGAAGATAATTTTTGAGCATTTAATACATCAAACCTAGTTTTGAATAACTTATATTTGAGGGTCATTTTTGAGTGATTTAAGCCTAAAGATATTTTTTGAGCGTTTTGCACACGAAACTCATTTTTTGAAGCTCTTCTTTGTAGATATTACCTTTAAAAGCTTTCAATTTGCTCATTAGTACTCGAGGAAAAATTTTAGCATTTAAAACTCATTTTTGCGTGCCTCATTTTTTGAGAACACTCAAATTGAAGCTCATTTTTGAGTTTTTAACACTTAAAACTCATTTTTGAGCGCTTTATGTTTAAAGCTCATTTTTGAGTGATTATTACTTGAAGATTATATTGAGCGTCTAAGAAACTCATTTTTGTTTTTAACATTTTCTTTTACTTTCTGTAGTCATTTGTTACTACTAAATTTCGTTCATCTTAAAAAAAAGTATCTAGCATACCACCTTTCAGGGTCAACCGGTATATAAAACGTTGTATCTGAAACGGAGTTAAGTTCCTTTCAGTGGCGTGCGTGTGTGTTTCGGTGTGCGTGGCGTACGGGTTTCGAGTAGGAATGTATTAATTTGAATGTGTTCAGGACAGCGATTAAATAACTTCGTACCGAATTGTAGGAATTTATCAAAATGACCATTTCTGGGGGGAGACGTTATTGAACATTCGTTCCCTCGAAATCGTCGACTAAGGTTAAACGAAACCAATGGCTTTTCGAAGCTTCCCAAACAGATTGTTAAAAGGATATATCTTTCTCTCGCTCTCTCTCTCTCTCTTTAACGTTGACAAGACATTTTGCGTCCAATTTCACTTATTTACCCAAAATCGCGCTGAACGTTTATGATTTACTGCATAATTGTCAAAAAAAATCGTGCCTTATATATCCTTTTGAGAAAACTGTTCAAATTTTTATCTATAAGAAGTCGAAAAAAATCATCCAGTCGATTAACGAATATAATTAATTATTTTAAGTACGACACTGGTCCAAAACTTGAATATTTGGATACGCCGATGTTTCGTAGTAATAATAATAATAATAAAAAAATAAAGGATGATTATTTTTGATCGACACGTTTTGGAAAATTGTTTTATTTAAAGCGACTAGTTTTTTTAAGTGATTTTGCCGAGTCAATTTTATTTTTGTGATTATTCCATTGTAGATTATCGTATCGATTACGGAGCTGTCCGTAGACATAGAAAACAATTAAATTTACTTAATGATGATTTTTAGAGCGTTTAGCGCTTGAAACTCATTTTCGAGTGCTTCGTGTTTGATACTCATTTTTGAGTGCGTTGTATTTGATTCTTATTTTCTAGTGTTTCATATTTGGAGCTCAATTTTGAGTGCTTCATAATTGAAGTTCATTTTGGAGTGCTTCATGCTTGCAGCTCATTTTTGAGTGCCGGAATAATTTTTGGGACAGCTCTACGATTATTCATATGTAAATATTTATATTTCATAACATTCGAAAAATTTTGAATTATTTGTTGTGATAGTAAATCGACTATTTTTTTTTTTAATAAACTAATCGTGTACATACAGTGGCTTCTCGTTTTTTTATATATATTTTTTTCTCAAAGTTTTTCGTAGATGAGAGTTAACTATTAGGACGATTAAATGCATACTAACAATTTTGTAAATAAAAATTAACAAAATTACTGGTTAAGAAAAGTCGGTTACACAATAATTGTTTTGTTTTCAAAATAGATCAAGTGCTGTATTTTGTTTTAAATAATGTACCCAATGTCTACATGTCATTAATCATTGTGCAATATTTTTAAACTAGTTTTTCGCAAAATAAATAAAACGCAAAAACAAAGTTATCTGTGCATTGTGTCTAGATAAAAAGAAAAACAAGATAAAGCTGTACAATATTAATAAACGTTAGAATAAAACTTTTGTATACTTGCAAACTACAAAGAGGCAGGTAATCCCTTGTGTCACACAATTATGCAAATGACGCACATTGCTTTAAAAACCCTTGTCCAAAATTTACAGATCGACATTTCCGAATACGAATCTCCTTTTTAGCTGAACAAAGCTTGAGACTAATTTTGTCACTGCCACTTTACAATAAAGTCAATTTCTAG